CGCTTCCAGTGACCAGTCTGCTTGCAATAGAAGCACTCAGTTTCAGGCTTAGGTCCAGGTTTGGGTTTCTTTTCTTGAGCAGCAACTTGCTTGCTGTTCTTTTTGAAGTTCCCCTTCTTCTTCCCTTTGCCCTTTTTCTTGAAACTAGTGGTCTTGTTGACCATCAACACTTGATGCTCCTTCTTGATTTCTACCTCCGCAGCTTTCAGCATTGCGAAGAGCTCGGGAATAGTCTTATTCATCCCTTGCATATTATAGTTCATCACGAAGCTCTTGTAGCTTGGTGGCAGTGATTGGAGAATTCTGTCAATGACGCAATCATCTAGAAGATTAACTCCCAATTGAATCAAGTGATTATTATACCCAGACATTTTGAGTATATGCTCACTGACAGAACTATTCTCCTTCGTCTTGCAGCTATAGAACTTATTGGAGACTTCATATCTCTCAATCCGGGCATTTGCTTGAAATATTAACTTCAACTCCTGGAACATCTCATATGCTCCATGACGTTCAAAACGTCGTTGAAGTCCCGATTCTAAGCCGTAAAGCATGGCACACTGAACTATCGAGTAGTCATTAGCTTTGCTCTGCCAGACGTTCATAACATCTGGTGTTGCTCCAGCAGCAGGCCTGGCACCCAGCGGTGCTTCGAGGAAGTAATTCTTCTGTGCAGCAATGAGGATAATCCTCAAGTTACGGACCCAGTCCGTGTAATTGCTACCATCATCTTTCAACTTTGCTTTCTCAAGGAACGCATTAAAATTCAACGGAACAACAGCACGGGCCATCTATCTACAATCAAACATGAATAAGCAAGATACTATCAGGTACTAAGTTCATGATAAATTTAGGTTCAATTAATCATATTACTTAAAGAACTCCCACTTAGATAGACATCCCTCTAATTCTCTAAGTGATTACGTGATCCAAATCAACTAAACCATGTCCGATCATCACGTGAGATGGAGTAGCTTCATTGGTGAACATCACTATGTTGATCATATCTACTATATGATTCACGCTCGACCTTTCGATCTCCGTGTTCCGAGGCCATATCTGTATATGCTTGGCTCGTCAAGTATAACCTGAGTATTCCGCGTGTGCAACTGTTTTGCACCCGTTGTATTTGAACGTAGAGCCTATCACACCCGATCATCACGTGGTGTCTCAGCACGAAGAACTTTCGCAACGGTGCATACTCAGGGAGAACACTTCTTGATAATTAGTGAGAGATCATCTTATAATGCTGCCGTCAATCAAAGCAAGATAAGATGCATAAAAGATAAACATCACATGCAATCAATATAAGTGATATGATATGGCCATCATCATCTTGTGCTTGTGATCTCCATCTTCGAAGCACCGTCATGATCACCATCGTCACCGGCGCGACACCTTGATCTCCATCGTAGCATCGTTATCGTCTCGCCAATCTTATGCTTCCACGACTATCGCTACCGCTTAGTGATAAAGTAAAGCATTACAGCGCGATTGCATTGCATACAATAAAGCGACAACCATATGGCTCATGCCAGTTGCCGATAACTCGGTTACTAAACATGATCATCTCATACAATAAAATTTAGCATCATGTCTTGACCATATCACATCACAACATGCCCGGCAAAAACAAGTTAGACGTCCTCTACTTTGTTGTTGCAAGTTTTACGTGGCTGCTACGGGCTTAAGCAAGAACCAATCTTACCTACGCATCAAAACCACAATGATAGTTTGTCAAGTTGGTGCTGTTTTAACCTGCGCAAGAACCGGGCATAGCCACACTCGGTTCAAATAAAGTTGGAGAAACTGTCACCCGCTAGCCACCTTTGTGCAAAACATGTCGGGAGAACCGGTCTCACGTAAGCGTACGCGTAATGTCGGTCCGGGCCGCTTCGTCCAACAATACCGCCGAACCAAAGTATGACATGCTGGTAAGCAGCATGACTTATATCGCCCACAACTCACTTGTGTTCTACTCGTGCAAATAACATCAACACATAAAACCTAGGCTCGGATGCCACTGTTGGGTAACGTAGTAATTTCAAATTTTTCCTACGCACACGCAAGATCATGGTGATGTATAGCAATGAGAGGGGAGAGTGTGATCTACGTACCCTTGTAGATCGACAACGGAAGCGTTAGCACAACGTGGTTGATGTAGTCGTACGTCTTCACGGCCCGACCGATCAAGCACCGAAACTACGACACCTCCGAGTTCTAGCACACGTTCAGCTCGATGACGATCCCCGGACTCTGATCTAGCAAAGTGTCGGGGAAGAGTTCCGTCAGCACGACGGCGTGGTGACGATCTTGATGTACTACCGTCGCAGGGCTTCGCCTAAGCACCGCTACAATATTATCGAGGACTATGGTGGAAGGGGGCACCGCACACGGCTAAGAATATGATCACGTGGATCAACTTGTGTGTCTAGGGGTGCCCTCTGCCTCCGTATATAAAGGATTAAAAGGGGGGTGCGGCCGGTCAGGAGAGGGCGCGCCAGGAGGAGTCCTACTCCCACCGGGAGTAGGATTCCCGCCCTTTCCTAGTTGGAATAGGATTCGGGAGGGGGGAAAGAGGAGAGAGAGAAGGAAGGGGGGGCGCCGCCCCCCTCTCCTTGTCCTATTCGGACTAGGGGGGGGGAGGGGCGCGCGGCCCAGCCCTGGCCACCTCTCCTCTCTTCCACTAAGGCCCACTAAGGCTCATATACCTCCCGGGGGGTTCCGGTAACCTCCCGGTACTCCGGTAAAATCCCGATTTCACCCGGAACACTTCCGATATCCAAATATAGGCTTCCAATATATCAATCTTTATGTCTCGACCATTTCGAGACTCCTCGTCATGTCCCCGATCCCATCCGGGACTCCGAACTCCTTTAGTACATCAAAACTCATAAACTCATAATATAACTGTCATCGAAACCTTAAGCGTGCGGACCCTACGGGTTCGAGAACAATGTAGACATGACCGAGACACGTCTCCGGTCAATAACTAATAGCGGAACCTGGGTGCTCATATTGGCTCCTACATATTCTACGAAGATCTTTATCGGTCAGACCGCATAACAACATACGTTGTTCCCTTTGTCATCGGTATGTTACTTGCCCGAGATTCGATCGTCGGTATCTTAATACCTAGTTCAATCTCGTTACCGGCAAGTCTCTTTACTCGTTCCGTAATACATCATCTCACAACTAACTCATTAGTTGCAATGCTTGCAAGGCTTATGTGATGTGTATTACCGAGAGGGCCCAGAGATACCTCTCCGACAATCGGAGTGACAAATCCTAATCTCGAAATACGCCAACCCAACATGTACCTTTGGAGACACCTGTAGAGCACCTTTATAATCACCCAGTTACGTTGTGACGTTTGGTAGCACACAAAGTGTTCCTCCGGTAAACGGGAGTTGCATAATCTCATAGTCATAGGAACATGTATAAGTCATGAAGAAAGCAATAGCAACATACTAAACGATCAGGTGCTAAGCTAATGGAATGGGTCATGTCAATCAGATCATTCACCTAATGATGTGATCCCGTTAATCAAATAACAACTCTTTGTCCATGGTTAGGAAACATAATCATCTTTGATTAACGAGCTAGTCTAGTAGAGGCATACTAGTGACACTCTGTTTGTCTATGTATTCACACATGTATTATGTTTCCGGTTAATACAATTCTAGCATGAATAATAAACATTTATCATGATATAAGGAAATAAATAATAACTTTATTATTGCCTCTAGGGCATATTTCCTTCACTAACCACATTTGTTTTTCCAAGTGTTTGTTGTCTTTGCTCCTTTTGAAGGAATCCCAAGATGGTGTGACATTGAAGAGTGCCCATTTCGAGCTTCAAGATGACGAGAACTTGGTGATCGACCACTCCTACACGACGACGCCATCTCTTTCCCATGGTGATTTGGATTTCGATCCGAGGCCGGATCTTCCTCAAGGGAGGGGAGATGATGCGGAGCATCCTATGGACATCATCATGTCAAGAGTCCGTTCGGCGAGTGACACGTGCGGCATCTACTTCACATACACAAAGGTGAATCGTCTCCTTTACACGTGCTCACTTGACCCCTTCGAGGATGGTATACTACTTGACCCTCCATTGTGCATGCATAGGTATTGTCGGAGCTTCACGAATGTCGAGGAGGAGTGCAAGCGCCAAGGAACAACTACACCATCTGCGAGGGAAGCATGGAAGAGAAGGAAGAAGAAGCCTGGACAAGTTTCTGGAAAGCCCAGAACTTCCGGTCGCTGCCCGGAACCTCCGGCCGTCCCGAAACTTCCGGCCCCGACGCATCGAAGCCGTCCGAGAGTGTGCCAACTCTCTGGATAGCCCGGACCTTGGCCGGACCTTTGCCCGGAACCTCCGGCGCCCGGACCTTCCGGTTGTCCCCGGAACTTCCGGCCCTGCCTGCGCGCAGACACTCGGGCCGAAGCCCATGTACCCTTTCGCCCCTCACTTACCCCTTCGTGGACCTAGACTATATATACTCCTCCACCTCCTCCTTTCTAGGGTTAGCCTTGTGATAGCTCATTTGAGAGATAGAGCTACGCTCATCCATATCGGATCTCCTCCGTGCGAGAGACTGCGGCCTCTTCGGATAAGATCCTTTTGGATTCAAGCCCCCTTTTTAAGGGAAGATCCCCCCGTGGATTCAAGACCTCTTCACGGAGAAGACCGGCTACCCTTGTATCGTCCTTAGTTGTCCGTGGATCGTGTATCTTCTCTTATGTATTCGAGGATCTAGCGCATGTATGATCATTCTTATTGATTTGAGTGTTCTCTTGTGTTCCCCTCGTATTTTCCCCTCGTTTCCCTCCTTGTGTTTTTTGTATTCATCGCGGGATTCGCTCATTTCGTGAAAGCTCGGGCTATAGGATTCCTACCTACATCACATTTGGTACAGCGGAGGCTCCTCTCAGTCGCGCACCTCTCGCCACTCCCACTCCACCAGCGCGAACACGAAGGCCGTGCCAGTCCCATGGCTCGCCTCTGCTACACCACGCCCATGCCGCACCTCCGCCGCTGCTGCTCCTCTTCCACCTCGCCGCCTTCACGCCACTGGGACCCCCGACCCGCCTTTGCCGCGGCCACGGAGCGCGTCCGCGCCGGGACGCTCAGCCCTGAAGACGCACACCACCTGTTTGACGAATTGCTACTGCAGGCCAACCCCGTCCCCGAGCGTTCCTTCAACGACTTCCTTGCCGCGCTCGCCCGGGCTCTGTCCTCCGCTGCTCTCAGAGATGGACACTCCCTTGCTCTCGGCATCTTCAACCGTGTCTGCCGAGAAGAAGCAGGGCCGTGCGTGACGCCACCCACAGTCTGCACCTACAACATCCTCATGGACAGTTGCTGTCGTGCATGCCACCCGAACCTAGGCCCTGCTTTCTTCGGCCGCTTCCTCAGGACGGGCCTCAAGGCAGACCAGATCGTCGCCATCAACCTCCTCAAGTGCCTCTGCCACGCAAAACGGAAGGATGAGGCTGTCAACATGCTGCTTCATAGGATGTCTGAGTTCGGTTGTGTGCCTGATGCCATCTCATACTCCATAGTACTTAAGAGCTTATGTGACGATAGCAGGAGCCAGCAAGCGCTCGATCTGCTCCAGATGGTAAGGAAAGGAGGTGCCTGCTCCCTCGATGTGGTGGCATATAGCACAGTCATCCGCAGCTTCTTTAAGGAGGGTGAAGTAAGTAAGGCATGCAATCTATTCCATGAAATGGTGCAACAAGGGATTGTGCCTAATGTGGTGACATATAGCTTGATTATTGATGCCTTGTGCAAGGTCAGGGCAATGGACAAGGCAAAGCTGGTCCTTCAGCAGATGGTTGATAATGGTGTTCGACCAAATATGTATACATGCATGGAACTCATTCATGTACTCCCTTTGCAAGAATGGAGGAAGCAAAGAAGCTGCAGAATTTTTTGACTCCATGACCTCCAAGGGCCTCAAACCTAATATCGTCGTGTACTCTACTCTTCTTCACGGGTATGCTACTGAAGGATGCCTAGCCGATATGATTAATCTCTTTAATTCAATGAAAGACAATGCTATTGTAGCCAACTGCAATGTTTTCAACATATTAATTGATGCATATGCTAAACGTGGAATGATGCATGAAGCTATGCTCATATTTACTGAAATGCAGGAACAAAGAGTGAGTCCTAATGTATTCACCTATGCAATTGTAACAGCTGCACTTTGCAGAATGGGCAGGCTGTCTGATGCAATGGACAAACTAAATGAGATGATTGCAATGGGATTACAACCGAACAAGGTTGTTTATCATTCTCTAATTCAGGGTTTTTGTACACATGGTGATTTGGTGAAAGCAAAGGCCTTGGTTTCTGAAATGATGAACAAAGGTATTCCTCGTCCAAACATTGTGTTCTTCAGCTCAGTAATAAACAGTCTATGCAAGGAAGGAAGGGTTACCGAGGCACACGATATCTTCGACTTGGCTATAAACATTGGCGAGAGGCCTAACGTTATTACATTTAGTTCACTGATTGACGGATATTGTTTAGCCGGGAAGATGGATAAAGCATTCGGAGTACTAGATGCTAACACTTTTGAGTATTTCAAGGAAAATATGTGCAAGAGAATAAGTAGATGGAAGTAGAAAAGTCTCTCTAAAGCAGGAAAGAAAATCTTGGTGAAAGCGGTAGCACAAGCAATGTCTGACTTACACCATGCCATGTTTTTGATCTAATAAAAAGCTTTTGTGATCAGCTTAGCACTATGATAGAAACATACTAGGGGTGCCAGCAAGAGCATGAGCTTTAAATTCTTTGGCTTAGTTGGCGAAAAATGTCAAGGCCAAAAGAAAGTGGATGCCTTGGCTTTTGTCTCTCCAGCTCTTCAACATTACCATGCTAGCTAGAAAAGGATGACAGTTACTGCAGGCAACAGAGTTTCCTATGGGCGTTCCTTTCCAAAACACACATGTTCTACATGGAGACTCAACCTAGGGTATATGTCGTACAGCTGGCTAAGTATTCTGAATGGTTGCAACCAACTCCTGGTTGCCACTTTATGCTCACCTAGGTCGGTGTAGATTGGCACAGGATGCTCTGCTTCCTTGTCGGTGCCCTCCATGATCACCCTGCAAAATTTCAGAGGAAAAGCATGTCAGAGAGGCTAGACTTATCGTTGATTCAATGTTGTCAGGTAACATGTTGTTTATCCTTTGTGTTTTGGCTTGGCTAGGTGGATGCACGTGCCCTCCTACTGTTTAAAAGAAGGAAGGTGTATGGTCTATATAGATCAGAGCCCTTACATTTAAAGAAAAATTAGGCTTCAGTGCAAATTTATGCTAGATACTCAATAGGCATAAAAATAATAAATTACAGCCACAGCTAGCTGAAACTCTCCAGCATTTCTAGGTTCATGAGCTTGATGATTAGTTGTTTGACTCTTTTTATTGGCAACCAAGAAGTGCATGTAGTTCTCTCTTCCAACAAACTTACATCTGGGCCCCATGCACATGTTACCGGAGTGGCCGTTACAGCTATATGCCAACCCCCAACATACACACTCAGAGAATTGATTTTCATTTCACATTGCCTAAGTGACTTTAACCTCCGAATAGTCACTCTTAAGAAAAGTTCTTGATTGTGGCCGGTTCAGTCAACGAATCAGGACTATACAATGAACAACACCTATGACTAAGATCAATAATATAATGCTGTGCCTCGGTAGTATGGAGATGGCATACAAACTGGCGGAATTATCATCCTTCTACTGGCTCAAGAACGTTTTTATTTCTAATAATTGACTAGATGATTGAAAGAGTATTACTAGGTTTACCAAAAAAATAGCTCCATACTTGCTGATGATTACTCCCTCTATTCCTAAGTGTAGTGCACATAAAATTTCTTAGAAGTCAAACATTGTTTAGTTTGACCAAGTTTAGTGAGAAAATTATCAACAAAAATAATACCAAAATTTCTTTGAATATGCTTAATGATGTACTCCTCTGTAAAGAAATATAAGAGCGTTTAGATCGCTAAAGCAGTGATCTAAACGCTCTTATATTTCTTTATAGAGGGAGTATCTAATAATATTTATTTAATGTTATAGATGTAGATATTTTCCTCTATAAATGTAGTCAAAGTAGGGGGAGTTTGACTTTTGAAATTTCCTATGTGCACTACATTTAGGAATAGAGGGAGTATCAGTATTCCCCAATAGGCAGTAAAGTGTGCCATTGAGTAGCTCCTTTCATGCTTGATTATGATTATTAATTTTGCCCATTTGGCACTAAGGTATGCCATTGGGTAGATAGAGGAACTGCGAGAAAAATAAAACATAATTAGGAACTGCAAGAAAAAATCCACACTTTTTTGCACCCATTCATCATACTGGTAGTGTAGATTTAATGGATGGTTATGGTAAACTGTGTTCTTTCTGTAAAAGTAAGTGCTTAGTGTCCCAACATAACTTGTGCCTTTACTGGGAGTGTAGATAAAAAATATTCATCATTGCAGCTGGATTATCTCCATTTACTCTTACCTGTGAATTTTGATCAGAAACCTGGACTCTGTTGTTGCATCCTTACTTTTAATACTGGTTATTACTTTGCCTATTTGCCTTCCTAAGTGTCCAGTGGACTCGTTAGCAATAACCTGTATTTCTGCAATTAAGATGGACTGGATGTTATGTGGTACTAAGTGCCTGTTCGGAAACTCTCCCATCCCTTAAAGTCCGCTCCGCTCGAGAGCTGGTTTCAAGCAACTCCCTGCTTTTGTGCTGGCGCTCCCTCCGCTCCGGGAGCCGCAGTGAGGGACCGGAGAGAATCCGAACAGAGCCTAAATGCATCATCTGTGTGACAGTAATTTATGATAGCAGGTTGTTTTAGTCCATTTCAGGTATTTTGGAGGCTCACTTCTAACGGAGGAAGCAGAGAGAAGTTTTCCGTACATTATGTTAATTAAGTTTCGTTGAATCGTAATAGAGCTTCCGTATTATGGAAGGCGAGATGTGGTCGGCCAGTCGTGTGGAATATGTTGTCAAATTATTGTTACTTTTTTGTGAAAGGTGAGATGTGGTCGGCCAATCATGTAGAATATGTTGCCAAACTATTGTTCCTTTTTTTTCCCTTCTGGAGTGGTAGTTAACAATAATCAAGCAGGCACCTTCCCACTACATTTATCTGGTGATAGACCAAATGTGACGAGACGGGGGAGATAAGGTGGAATAAAGCAGTATAAGATGGGGTACTACTATAGTAAAAAGAACCATGTTGATGGCGAGTTATTTGGAAATAGTGAAGGTACTGATGCTCCATATTTGGAAAAGTGAACATAGAACAATTGTGTTGATTCCACAGGAATAATACAATCTTATTTTGCTCCTTTTCAGATTATTGTGCCCCAATGCCTATTGATGGATCACACATGGCAGTCTTGGTGGCGCCACCATGCATGCGTGGGATCGACAGGAGCGAATTAGCGGTCCCAGCCGACGAGTGAGAGGAGGAAGGTTCGGTAGTTCCCCGACGTCTCGGAGTGGATAGCTTCAGCCAGCGACCCCTTGTACTTGTTGTGGTACTCTGCCTTGATGTACTTCATGTCAACCTCGGTCCTCGTCACCGCCACCCGTGTGAGCGCCGCGTTGCTGGTGCCCAGGCCTTTCATCGCCTTGTGCAGGACCTTGGCAAAGTACTTTGCCGGAGTGTCGGCGCACCTGAGGATGGTCAGCAGCCCGAACTGGAAGTTCCCTGTCGTCTCACTCTTCACGGCCTGCAAATTCGGTGAGCATCGATGCCTTTATTTATTTAGTTTCGAGGCCTGATTTGCTCATGGAAGGAAGATGAGAGGAGTTTCAAGCAAGTTGGAGATAAACACCACCTTCTCCAGGGACCGGGCGTACATGTGCTGGTAAGCGTTGGCCACGGACACCATGTGCGCCCAGCTGCGTTCGCTGAAGATGCGGATGAAGGCCCGCTCATCGGTGCCCACCCTCTTCTCGCCGGCTTGATACAGCTCCCTCGCGTCGTCTGTCACCGCCGAAGGATCAACTTCCGGGCCTTCGTTGCGCCGGACTCCCAGGTACGCAAGCAAAAGCTGCATTGATCAACACCCGAATAATTAGACAAATAGTGGCGATAGATTCAAGCGCAAAACAGATCAAGAAAAGGCAATTATGTGATGACGATGGAAACAAGAAACAAAAGACTAACCTTCTGATGATCACCGTAGGTGCGTTCGGTGATGTCATGCTCGAGGTAGCAACCGAACCTCGCGCGGTAGGTTTGCTTCATGATCTGCAGCTGCGACGGCGTCCTGGAGCAGATTACCTCCGTGGCGGCTCTCAGGTCGGTGATGTCGCTGTTGAGAGCCTGGTTCAGTATGGTCGCGTCACGCCCCACGGGGTCGAGGACCCAAAGCAGCATAGCATTCTGCAACCACAGCCATGCAGGTTCGTTTCGGGAGCAGTACTCCACTCAGTTTTAACTTTTAAGACGAAGGATATGTATGTATCCGTAGCTAGGATGTGTAGATATGGAAATATCTAGTTCATTTTGCATGCCTTGTGGTTTCCACTCAGTTCAGTTGCTAGGCGATGGTAGAGATCCTGATGGTATATGGCTTTGTACTCGTGCAGGATGAGCGCGCGCTGCGCCGAGTCGCGGTGAGCAAGTATGTTAGTCACCGTCGTGCTGTCGCAGCCGAACCCTGCACAATACAAGAAAACCACCGGCTGTTACACAGAAAACATCGATTGTTGCTAGACAGGATGGAAGAAATAGTTCATCGTTCGTTTCATCTCTGTGTACCTTTGAAGGCCTTGTGGAGAGCGACGGCGTCATCACGCGGAGGCGTGAGCACCGGAGGCACGCTCAGGCTCGCCATCGCTCGCCTGCGTGGCTGGACGATGGTTTCTTTTCTGTGAGTGAGACTCTGTGTGCTGGTGCTGCGTACGGGGGGAGCTTTTTAAAGAGGGAGACGCGAAGCTTTCCCCTTAGACGCTAGATTCGATTTCTCTTTGGAAATTACAAGGATGAGAAGCACAACCCGCTCATTCTTTGATTCAGAATATTTTGAAACAGCACTACTACCTCCGTCTGCGTTTATTAGTTTCCACTAGCCAAAATACCTGTGCGTTGCAACGGAAAAAGAAAAAAACCATACTTCCTAAACCCAATAGCTCAAGACCCTTCCCTCTCCTCCTCCCATGACCGACTGCCAGACATGTCCTCCTCCTCCCACGACCGACTGCTAGACATGGTGACATTAGTAAACTCTTTGTAATCTTCCACACTACCACATGAGAAACAACATGAAAAGATGTGTTGTGCAAAAACATAACAACAAAAGGAATTTATAAGTGTACTGTAGGTGTGTGCAATTTAAATCACAGAAATATCTACCTGGTCGCAAGTATCTCTTCACGTATTTGTTGGCGTTGTTCAGTGATGCGGTGATGCCCCAAAAATATCACACTATAATAAAAATAGTAAAGTCTTAGGCTGTGTTCGGAAGTGCTCCGGCTCCACGCTTCTCCGGAAGCGGGCGAGGAGCTGGCCGAACACCGCAGTTTCTAGAAGCCTGCTCCCGGAATCCGCTCGGCCCGCAGTGCAAAAAACAGAAGCTACGATCGCCCAGCTCCTGGAAAACGAGAAGTGGGAGTTGCTGGATATTACATGGAATGCCCTCCCGAAGTGCCTCCTTGAAGCACTTTCCTTTCGCTACAGGGCACGACGAACCGTTTTTCTTGCTACAGGGGGCGGCAAAGCGTTTTCTACAGCCGAACGATCGCTGGCTCCCGCGAGAAGCTAGCTAGCGCTGGCTCGTGGAGAAGCTGGCTCGTTTGGAAAGCCAGAGCACTTCCAGACGTGCCCTTAGTATAGCATTCTTGCTTCACTATGGAGGCAACAAAGATTTTCATGAACCAGTGTGGGCTAGGTTTAGGGACTGGGTAGCATAGCACTATTTTGTGTCCAATGATATAAGAAGCATTTTTTGCGGGGTAATGATATTAGAAGCATTTTTTGCGGGGCAATGATATTAGGAGCATTGTACAAAGATCCTCCATCGTTGGCTAATAGAACAAAGTAAAGTGTGGAGTTTGTGTTGCACACAACAGAGAGTACGACTGCTTGTGCTTTGGTGATCAACATTATTTTTATTAGAAGGATTGTAAGAGTTTGTGACGGGCGCTAGCTGGTCGAGCAGAAAATTAAGAGCAAAATTTTGTTTTGTTCTCAGAAAAATATTGTACATGACCAACATAGAATGAATCCTGTTTATTGTGATTTAGACATAGTATTCTTTTGTGCATGTTAAACAATTCCAACATAATTTGATTTTGAGTTATAATTTGACGTCAACAATTCAGATATAAAAAGTAGTTCAACTTGCCTGATGCCGTTGCTATCCATGGACGGAGACGTTTAGTGCCATTATATCCCCCATTTGGAGACCCTCCCCCTCTTTCCTTTTTTAGTTTTCTATATTTTCCTTCCTTACTTAATTATATGGAACAACTTCCACTTTCCATTTTTTTCTCTGTCTACACATGAAATCGCCGCCCTGTTTCCTTTCTTATTCTGCCATGCGACATGTGAAATCCCTCCTCTTTCCATATGAAATCCCTGCCCTCTTTCCTCCCTTATTTTTCTCTCCTTCCTTCTTTATTCTGTCAAGAAACATGAAGTCCCTCCCTCTTGCCTTCTTTATTTTTCCCTCTTTCCTTCCTTATCTTTTATTATGGAAGGACTTATTTCCTTCTATATTGGGTCCCGAGACGGCTCCTTGATATCGAGAAAATTTGAAGATGTATATAAATTATAAAGATTGGGTTTAAGAGAGCGGTATGGGACTATTTAAAAGGTGAATCAACAGCCTAAATATAATACACCATGAGTTCTTTTTAAGGAAAATACACCATGAGCTATGTCAGTTGGTAGCGACACTGGTTATCGTATATGCAGTTCAGAGTTTGATTCAGCCCACCATCGAATACTTTTTTGCACCGGGCTGTGGGCCAGCTTCGCCCGTTCGCTTGTGTAGCTTCCTTCGGCAAGGTGGGCCGGAATAATGTGGCCTGGCGGCTGAAAATTCTCTGATAGACTAAGAGAGGTAATCCTTGTTACTCTAAGCATAGGATGGGCCAGCTGAGTTGGACGCTCGATTTGTGCACTTTTCTTGCAACCCGTGTTCGAGTCCTCATAATAGCAACTTTTTTTGTGTGGCCGTTTTTTGTCAGGCTTCATTGGGCCGCATGGGCCAGAACAATTTGACCAGGCATCGGTCAGGAAGGATCGATCGTTCCTGGGAAACCGATCGTGGGTGCTTGAGCAAAAAGAGCTAATATATGGGAACTTTATTTTAGTACCACCTCGCGTATGTGTTTAAAATTCAAACTGAAAGCGTAAATTCACATAAAGAAGCGTATTGTGACGGTGAACCCACGGAGTCAATCCGTGCTTTATTATTAGGGAAAGATTGTATTTTGGGTTAAACTTTCACCACATATTTGACTACAAATGTTAAGGGCACCTTTGATTTAAAGGTTTTTCATAGGAATTTTGGAGGATTATAATCATTAGCATTTTTTTCTATATTGGTTGTTTGATTCATATGATAGAATCCTATAGGATTTTCCCCTAAACATCTTTCTACTACTTTTCATCGTATTTCTAACGTCCACTCAAACTTCTTTGAAAGAATCATTTGGCTTTCCTATGATGCAATGAAAAAACTTAGATTAAGATAAGTGTGACATTTCCTTTTTTTTTCTATTCCCGCGTTTTTAGAATCTCGTGAATCAAAGAGGCTCTACGTGTCACCAAAATTTATATTGTTGAATTTTTATTTAAATGTAATTTCTAATGATATTATTTTTCTATGTATAACTTATATTTTACCAGTTGCCTAAAATCAAGGAGGGAGCTAGTAAACCCGGACGAAGTAGTATATGGTTATTTTCTTTCAGATCAATGCCAATGTTTTTTATTTGACTCCTTGGCCATGCCTCGGCAAGCAACAGGTATAAAGGAAGGACTCCACTGCAAATTTGACATCAGATTTTTTATCATAGCAAATCAAACACTTTTTATGACAAATTATGTTCTCCAAGGATGACAAGTTTAGTTGACAAGCGTGGCAAATCAGTCTTAGTTTTGTTTTTATCGGAAAATTGCCATGCTTGCAAAATAAAATTGTCATCATCACGCCAATATAAATTGCCATGCCTAAAGATCTGACAGTGTTTTTGTAAAGAAAACACTTATGTGTTGTTCGTACTGATACTGCACATTCTCTTCTCAGGAGGATTTTAACGAGCTGGGATCTATGACAACAAGTTTGTGATACCTTCTTTGTCAAAAGAAAAGGTATTGTGATACCTTCTCTTACTTTCATTTAAAAAGACCTCATGATGAAGATTGCGTTGAGAGCCTCCATTGAGACACTAGACTCCTAAAAAGCTCCCCCTTTCTTTCGGGCAAAACAAGTTTGAAGAAGATTATGGCAACCTTGCTAATGACTGAAACCAGCAAGATGGAAATTATTGTTACCTCCATTTCTTAGTAACTTGTAACGTAAATCATCGAATGAGAAAATGGGTCTAATCAAACCCTATGCAATTTTAGGATCAAAAAAGGAATTTTGGAACTGATCGGACGGCCATAATCCAAGGGAATCCAACGTCTTTCTAAACCTACGTGGAAATGGGGTTTGATGCAGAGTATCTCATATATAGCTTCCATTGGCACAATTTGAGCTACACTCTAGCACTGACGATAGCTCCGCCCGCTCGCTCCACTGCAAGTACGCCGTCCTGCCCCTTCTTTGCCACCTCCGAAGGACATCCACGACCACTGCTGGGTGCTCATGCCCTCGCCAGCACCGGGGCGGTACAACGCGAGCGGCAACGGGTGAGGGAGAGGGTGGCGGGGGCAAGGCGTTGGGAGGCGTAGGGCAAGCGCGCGCCGGTGGACCCCGAGGACAAGTTCACCATGTTGTTCCTCCGCCACTCCCTGATGACGACGGAGATGGATGCGCGGCGGTTCAAGCGGATCATGGTGATGCATAGCAACGAGAGAGGAGAGTGTGTCCACGTACCCTCGTAGACCGAAAGCGGAAGTGTTAGCACAACGTGGTTGATGTAGTCGTATGTCTTCACGATCCGACCGATCCAAGTATCGAACGCACGGCACCTCCGAGTTCAGCACATGTTCAGCTCGATGACGTCCCACGAACTCCGATCTAGCAGAGCTTCACGGGAGAGTTTCGTCAGCACGAGGCGTGATGACGGTGATGATGATGCTACCGACGCAGGGCTTCGCCTAAGCACCGCTACGATATAATCGAGGTGGATTATGGTGGAGGGGGCACCGCACACGGCTGGAATAGATCAATAGATCAACTTGTGTGTCTAGAGGTGCCCCCTGCCCCCGTATATAAAGGAGCAAGGGGGGAGGCCGGCCGGCCCTAGAGGGCGCGCCAGGAGGAGGAATCCTCCTCCTAGTAGGAGTAGGATTCCCCTCTTTCCTACTCCTACTAGGAGGGGGAAAGGAAGGGGGGAGGGAGAAGGAAAGGGGGGCGTCACCCCCTTCTCCTAGTCTAATTCGGACCAGAGGGGGAGGGACGCGCGGCCTGCCCTAGGCCAGCCCTCTCTCTCTCCACTAAGGCCCATAAGGCCCACTATTTCTCCCGGGGGGTTCCGGTAACCCCCCGGCACTCCGATTTTCTCCGAAACCACCCGGAACACTTCCGGTGTCCGAATATAGTGGTCCAATATATCGATCATTATGTCTCAACCATTTCGAGACCCCTCGTCATGTCCGTGGTCATATCCGGGACTCCGAACTACCTTCAGTACATCAAAACACAAAAACTCATAATAC